AAATAAACATGTATAATTTATTTATAATAATTTATTATCAATTGGATAATTTAAATTATGGTAAAATATTTTTTGGTCGTATTTATTTACGTCAATGTCAATTTTAGTTCTTACATTATTAAAATGGTGATTTTGATCTTTTTCATTTATACTTGGATCAATTTTAGTCTCTTAATCTTTAAAATAATCATTTCGATCTATTATGAATTAATACAGTTCAAATTTAGTATTTAATTATCATTTTTTCAAAAAAAATAATAATAAATATATTAGTTATATGCTTTGTCATGCAAATAAATTGTCCTTATAAAATAATTTTACAAAAATTATTCTTTTTATAATATTTATTAACAAAATATGTATATATCACTATATTTTATATTCCCTCCGTCCTGGTGCAAGATTGTCGTTTACTTTCTACACGTAGATTTTTTAATATTAGTATTATAATGGATTGTGGTGAAAAAGACGAAAATACCCCTATTGATATTGTGTAATATAAAAGCAATGACATTTCTGTGATATAGTGTAAGTTGGAAGGGTATTTATTATGTTAAGTAGGTAGTACAATTATTAAATTAGGAAATGGTAACCTTGTTTTGGGACAAACGAAAATGAAAAATGGCCACCTTTCAATAAGATGGACGGAGGGAGTATCTTGAAAGTATTTTGTTGTCTTATTCTAACAATTTAATTAAGATAAACAACTAACTAACAATTATATTGTTTTAGACGGATAGTTTTTAAATTGGGTGTTTAAATTTGTTTTGAACTTTTATGAAAAAAATATTTGTGTGAAATTATTTTAAAAAAATAATAATAATAATACAAAGTAATATAAATAATAAATGAGAATGATATTTTCCTATGAAAATTATACATTACTTTCAACATTAAAAAAAAAAGAAAAAAAAAAAACTTTTAACTTTTGAGGATGAATTTTAATGTAATATATGTTTTACTTATAACTTTTTATTAAAAATAAAAATCTTCAATTTTTTTTATGCTAAACATGTGGTAGTGATTATATAAAATTGAACTAACTTAATAAATAAGAGATTGAAATTGTCATTTTAAAAATAAAAGAACTAAAATTGACATATTAATAAATAAAAAAGACCAAATATATATTTTACCTTTAAATTATTTTGTTATAATTATTTTTCACTTGCAAAAATTTATATATTTTATAAAATATTATACCCTTCTCTTAAATTTGTGCTTTAAAAAAACAGAGAGAATACTCAATAATTATTTTTACTTCAATATATATAAGATAAAAATAATATAAAATAATAAACCGAAATGCTTTCTAAAATTAAAAGATAAATATATTATACTATAAATATTTAGAAATGTATTTCGACATGTTTATTTATTATTATTATTATTTTGTTTTTCTATTTTTTATATTTGGATTTTGATTTAAATATTAGTTTAGGGTTTGTTCGTAGTATTTTTAAATGACAATATTTTTCACAAATATTATAACAAATATAAATAATATACACATTAACACAATTTATAATATATACACTTTACTCAATAAAATATTTAATATGTTGTATACATTTTTTTTTCTTTTTTTTATTCATATCCATATTTGATATAAAATATTTAATCAAACAATTATTTTCATCTAAAAATATTAAAATAAAAAAAATATATATTATAGTATAATCATAATAATTCTATCCATTGTTTAAAATCTATTAATTGTATTAGTTATAATTTAATCAAATATGATACATTAATTATGAATGATAAATATGAAATATTTTATTAAAAATAAATAAATAAAATATTGTAATATGAATTCCTCCAATGTGATATATAGATGGATTATGTAAAAAATCAAAAATGGTTTAATATAGTAATACATGCTCAATTTATTTATTCTATAAATATCTTATTATAAATTTATTTTAAAATGTATGTATTATTGTTTCTATAGTTTTTTATACTATATTTTGTAGAATATATTAATATAATGTAGTACAATAATCAATTTTATTTATAATTAATATTTCATCCGTCCACAAACTAATGTCCTACTTTCTTATTTGGGTCGTCCAATAACTATTGTTCTATTTTCTTTTTTAAACACAAATTTTACATTTTTACCCTCTATTCATTTATTACTTTTAATCTCTACCATACAATTAAGGTCAAATTTGTCCATTCATAACAAAAAGACAATCATCTAGAAAATCGTGCAAATATACTTTAGGACAATAGAAATTGGACGGAGCAAGTACAAAATAAGTAATTATAACGTATTAATGGTAACCAATTAATACAAATTAAAATTATTAAAAAAGGATATAATATATATATATATATATATATATATTAGTAATGGAGGTGTTGAACAGCAATTTAGTAAATAATTTGAATTACCAACTACCAATTATTGATATTCTTGTATTAAAAAATAGCAATAAATAAATAAAGATGCCTTCAAATAGTGATTAGTGAATGAGTTGCATACCTTTGTGTTATTGATGGAATCTAATCATTCTTTTTATTTATATGAATATATGATAATATAAAAGTTGGTGCAATCAATTATCTCTAATTATTGAAGAAACAAAAATAAATGTTTTGTTTACCTTACAAATTTTCGATACTATTTATTTGGCTAAACTGTTTTTTTAGTCCCGTAACTGGACTCCCTTATCATTTTAGTCTCGTAAGTAAAGCCTGTCGCAAACTAGTCCCATAAGTGAAAAATTTTCGTTGTTTTAGTCCTCCGGCGCCGGAGACACCCGCGTGGTTCGCCGGAAGTGACGTGTCCGCTAGGTGTCGCTGACCGGGCGGACACGTGGATTTTTTTAAATATTTTTTCATTTTTTAAAAAAAAATTTAAAACTTATTTTTAATTTTATTTGTATTCTTTTATTTTTTTTATTTAGTCCAATTTAAAAAAAAAAAAAAAAAATCCATGTATCCGCCAGGTGTCGCTGACCTGGCGGGACACCTGGTGGACACGTCACATCCGGCGAGGCATGCGGGCGTCTCCGGCGCCGGAGGACTAAAACAACGAAATTTTTTCATTTATGGGACTAGTTTGCGACAAGCTCCACTTACGGGATTAAAATATAAAGGGATTTAGTTACGAAACTAAAAAACAGTTTACCCTATTTATTGTTTAAAAAATATTAGATCAAATATATTTTTTTTGTTTACAAAATATCAAATCAAATGTTATATACTAATTTTGTACTATTTTCAAATTTTTCAAAATTTCAAAAACCTGCGCAAAACTCTTATTTAAACAAAGCAGAAATACTGTAAATACTCACCAATTATAAGCTATTGTTGCTATTGGAATGAAATGTACATGCTAATAATCTATGTTTTTTTTATGTACACATATTTATAAAAAAAAAATTAATATTTTTTATTAATAACATTTTTTTATATATAAAATATCACACTAATTATCTAACTTTTTATCATTTATAAAATATCAATACTCGGAAAAAAAAAAAAAAACTGCATTTTTCAATTGAATGTTATACATTTCAAAAATTCATAATGAAAATTATTTCTACATACCCTCAAGTATATTTGATTAGTTTTGTTTTTTTATATCCTTAAATGATTCATAATTTTAATTATAATAATTATTTAATATAATAAATTATTCAAATATTTGAGTATGAATTTTAATAAAAGAATGTAACGATTATTACTTTTTATTATTTATAATAATAAATACAAAAATATAATATATTTTTTTACTTGAAAAAATGAAAATATTTTTTTTATTACAAAAATAAATAAATTAATTAATTAAAGTGATGAAACGAGTATTAGAAAAACACAACCAAACAAAGCGGTATTAGGCATATGGCTAGATTTCTAATGTGGAAATCTCCCTCTGGCCGGCAACATAGACATATAAAAATAAATAAATAAATAATAATTTAATTTTAATCTCTCTATACAAATATTAAAAAATACTCTATCTGTCCCAAAGCAACATTTTTTTTTTTTTGTTTTATGTCTCAATCACCCTACAATATTTTTAAAATAGAAAATAATTAATTATACTTAATCTATATTCCACATTTTATCTCATCACATCACTCAAATAAAAAAAAAATAAAATATATATTTCTCTCTCCGTTGCATCACCTAATTCATAAATTATCATATCTAATATTTTCCACCTAAAAATCCGTGCCCAAAACAAATATTGCACCTTATTTGAAACGGAAAGAGTAGTTATTTTTAAATTTTAAATTTTTATATAATTACATTTTTTAGTATTTTTATATTATATAAAAAAATATTTCCATATAATTTTAATTGTTTTTACAATCCCTAAAACACTTAGATGTTTTTTTTTGTGTTTTATTCACACAAAGTTTTTTTTAAAAAAAATAATATACTATTATATATATATATATTATCTATACACTTTTTTTTTATAATTTATGGATTAAAAAATATTTTTTAAAACTATTTCACAAAATAAATATACTTAGACTTTGTTGCGGATCTAGTTGCCGATTATTATTATTATTATTATTATTATTATTATTATTATTATTATTATTTTTCGAAATTTAAGTTGTATTCTTTTATAAATTTTAATATAGAATTTTATTATTTAAATTTTTATTTTTTAAAAAAAAATTAAATTAAATAATTATATTTTTATATTATATTACAAATTTATTTTACATTAAAAAATATCACATTAATATATGTTTATTCCGTATAAGTTCAAATTCAAACGTTTTTATGTTCATAAATCTAAACCCGTAACCCACAGACAAACACAGCCTTAATTACTGCGGTCTGAAGTGATTTTGACCGTTAAACGTTGCATTAACCAAGGCCACCTGGCAAACTGCATCTAAAGGGCCCCACAACGCCAGCTGTGCAATCCAGTTGTTTACAGTTCGGAAGACCGCCGGTGACCGCCTTTTTCCGGTATCCGGTCCGCCATTGTGTTGTATTGTATGTGTATGTATATATACAGACAAGGAACTGGCGAGGGAGAGACGGAGGGAATTAGGGTTTGCAATTTTCGCGTATTTGATTGATGATCAGGACGCAAACCCTAAATTCGGATTTGGGGGGCGGGAATCGCGCTTGATCTTCTTTTCTTTTCGGTTTTGCTGCATTTATTCTGTTATCCATAATTCGATCGATGGCCGCGGAAATGCGCCCGAAGGACGCAGCAATCTGCGACGATTTACAAGAAATCGCATTCCCCAGCCATTGTTGCTGCTTCTCCTTCAATTTTCCGTGTTTTGAATCCGATAATTGGGAGCGAATTTCAACGACAGGCGGAGAACAACAAGAACAGCAAGAGTTTAGTGCTCGATCGAGCTGGTGGGTGAAAGGTATCGACGCGCTGAAGAAAATTAGGGAACTGTCGGAGCTCGCCGCCGGACCGAAGTGGAAGACGTTCATCCGTCGCTTCAACAAATCTGCTTGCAAGTCCAAACCGTCGAAATTCCAGTACGATGCGTTCAGTTATTCTCTGAATTTTGACGAAGGTATTCGGGAAGACGAACAGCTCGAGGGCGACGTCGTTTTGAGAGATTTCTCATCCCGGTATGCTGCGTTTCCGGCGAGCAATTCCGCCGCCCAATCGAAGGACGCTGCTACGTGAGAAATCATCGGTTTAACATTGCAGCAGCGTCGATTCGAGTTCGATTCTGTTCACAAATCAGTGAATAATCCTTGTTTCTTCAAGACTTGTGGTTGTGAGGGAAGTTGTCGATAAATCCTTTCTTGCTTCATGTGCAGTGTATTGTAGTTTACGATTCTCATTTTTAGCATACCATTCTTTACATCTTTTCTTTCGTTCTTCCATGAATTATAGAAATCTGAATGATATGGTTGCTGATTTTTTACAAGAGTCGACTCTACTCACGAGTATTTTATTGATTTTGTGGTTGTAAGATTTGTTCATTCCACTTTTCATCTTCATCTTGGAAGAAGCCCCAAATTCTCTCACTTGATTTAAAGCTTCGGCTATGGAAGGGAAAGAAAATTCAGATGAATTCGAAACCCTGAGGTACTTTCCTATTTTCTCATATAATCGATTTCTGAGTTCAAAATCAGTTTTTGTTTTGAGTATTTAGATTCTTGATGAAGATTTGCGTTCATTTGATCTCCCGACCATGAAATTTGAAGTTTATCCACATTATCAATTTCGGCTTGATCTTGATCAGTTATGGAAGAATTCTTGGTAGCCTCGTCTCTTTTCTTCTACAATTACTGAAAAAGATGGAATCTTTAACCTCCAAGATTGATTATTTTATCAATACATCAACATCTGTGGGACCAAAAAGATTGCTTCTTTACATAATTGGATCTCTTCTTTATAATGTAAAGGCAATTTGCAGGTGTGTGAAGAAAAAGCATTCATGAAATTCTGTAATAAAGATCAGATCAGATCAATTTATTTATCTATTGAGAGAATTCTGTATAGATTCTCACATTGAGCTCTGAAGTTGTGATAATTTGGGATATAATAGTTAAGGCTGTGACTGATAATTAAGAAGGATTTGGAATACTGATCCAGATTGTTCAAATGTTTACATTAAAAACCATAGGTTTCGATAAAATCTAGTTTCTAATTTACAGACAATAAAGGACCAGCCATTCATGGTACACAGCTAAGATCACCTACGGATCGGCACGCCCTGCAACTTCGTCATCGTCGTCGCTATCGCTCCGACCATCGCTGAAATCTTCGTCATTGCTCTCTTCTTCGTCGCTTTCGTTCGCTGCACTGTCGACTTTCTTCTTCGCATACCGCTCGCAATACTCTGTTTACAAAAGAAAAATATATAATTAAAAAAAAAAAAGAAAAAAGAAACAAACATGATTTCGGGTTTTTGTCGATTCTATGTTGTCTTAAGTTAAGTGTGTCTCTTGACTCACCTCTTACTTTTTGGTCGTATTGTGCCTTGTCTTTCATCATTAACGACGCCGCGTCCCCGTTCAGCGGGTCCGACGGGTTTGGATATAGCAGAAGTTGCGGGAGGAATACCTCGAATACGTTCAGAAGATCTGCGCGCAAATTTCGTATTTAAACGACAGACAATAAGCATAAAACATATACTGAGTTAATTGAAACTATATGTTTGCAACTTATACGGTACGTTGTATGAACATATTTCTTGTATTGAGATCAATAATAATATTTATTGCATTATCATGTGTTGTAATTACCGAACATCGGACTCCACGACTGGTTGATGACATCCAAGCACACAGAACCCGACCTACAACATTCGAATCTAACCTCAACGCCCCGCGACAATAATTATGTAATAATTGTACAAAGAATGGACAGAAGTCCTAAATAACTTACAGCTCGTCGACATTGGGATGAAAGATTTTGTTGACAAAGCCGATGGAAGGAGACTTGTAAGGATAAGCATCCGGAAGCTCTACACGAACTTTCCAAACACCACCTTCATAAGGACCTGCAATCAATCGACCCAAGAAACATGTAAACAGAGAAAAAATATATATATATACACGGCGCAAATAGGAAATTAAAATTGAGTAGACATTACTTTCTTTTGGACCGTGAAATTCCACATTTAGCTCGTTGATTCCATCGTTTATAGTCTCCACAGCATAGTCACTCATCATCCTACAACATTACAGATTAACACAATTCATTCAAACACAAGATGGAACACAATTCATTCTCATTGATCGAATAATTAAGATTGAATAATCAAACATTTGTAATCCTCACAGTTTCATGACATCCATATCTCGCCGCTTGCTCGGAGAAGACATTGTTGTGTTAGAATGATGCAGACCTAAAATGCCAGGAAGAAGAGTAGGGACACAAGCAAATGCTAATGTTGTAAGTTGTAATGCAGTGACAAGAATCTGGAAATCATACAGAATTACAAACACGAATGAACAATAAGTTGAAAACTATGTCCAAAAACAAAACACTCTCAATCAAAACACATTTCTTCGATTAGATTAGATTAAGATTATACTCAACAATGGCAGTCTTGTTTTGACTTCCAATTTTGAAACTCCCAACATCAGTGCTGTGTGTGTGTGTTAACCTTTTCTTATCCAACATTCTTCTCTTGTTCAAATTTCTTACACATTTAACGAGCATAATTTAGTCCCGATCGAATCGATCCTAACATTACACAGAAGAAGAAATTCAACATCCAACAAATCAATTTATTTATTTTTTTTTATTTTTTTTGAAAAATCCTATCAAATAGAAAGAGCGATGAACATCCAGGAATCTAGAATTGGTAAAGGCATAAAACATATCCACAGAATTCGAATCCCTGAAAACGAAACAAACCCTCGACCATAAATATTAACCCTCTCTTCAACACAGAGCAAGGATCGACATCAAATCGACATAAGAAACACCTTTACCTAGATGAGAATTGAAAAATTAACAAAACAAAGGAATAGGGCGTCGATTAGATCAAGGATGCAATGGAACGAAGAGGATGAAATGCAAATAATAAATATAAAAATTTAAGATGGATGCATATAGACATAATAGTAATGGGGGAAAGGAAAAAGAGAAAGGGTAAGAGGAAGAAGAAGAAGAGGAGAAAGAAGGGCCCACCAGATACAGATAGAAATCAGAATGAATGAATCGAAGGTGTCCACTTCTTGCCTTCCTATTATTTATTAAGGGTTTGCTTTATTATACTTTCAAATTAATTTAAATAATTTTATTTTTTTAAAAAAAAATACTTTCTTCATCCCAAACAAGATGCAATGCACGGGATTTTTAGGTAGGTAATATTAAATATAATAATTAATTATTTTCTATTTTGAAAATGTTACAGCGCGTTTGTGTTTGGTACATATTAAAAAGAAAATGTACGGTGTTAGAACTGAGGGAGTAGTATTTTGATATTATTGAATATTATAGGCATAATAAAATAGTTTCAGTTCAAAATTATATATTTCGATCGTCACTTAACAATCTATCAATTTTTTCATTTGATTCTTCTTATAACAAAATATTTATTTTCTTTTTTAGTAATTGTAATATTACAAATACCCTTCTAATTTACAATATATTACACCAATATCGTTACCTTTATATTATATAATAATTAATTTAGTCTTTTTACTTTTATTTCTATTTTATTCTAATATAATATTAATATTTTTAAAATTCCGTGTAAAAAAAATTAATATATAGAGATGGGACGAACGGACTAACAACAATTCCTATATACATGGGGTAAGTTGTTTATGTGTGTTTATCCAATATTTTGATTTTAAATTTTAATTTTGCCTATCAGTAAAATTTAGAATTAAATTAAGTATTGTATATGAAATTAATATATATATATATAGATATATTTATATGATATTTGTATATAAAATTAAATATTTGTGTAAAAATATATTATAATAAATAAAAAATAATTATTTGATTTATTATTTTTTTAAAAAAAATTAAAATAGTAAAATAAGTAAAAATCTTATAAATAAACATTCTAATACAATATATATTTAATTTATTATTTAATTTTTTTTACATTATTTATAAATTGAAACAATAGCTATTGAAATTTTACACATATATCATATGTTTATTTAACATTTTTAAGTAGAACGGTTCCTCATAATTCATAAATATTACTTCATCCGTCTTTAATACATTATTATTATTTTTTTATTTTGATCTATTTCATAACAAAGTATTTATTTTTTTTAGTAATTGTATTATCTACGTAACATTACAAATACTCTTACAACTTATAATATATTACAACGAATGTCATTACTTTTATATCAAACGATATAAAATTATTTTAGTCATTTATATTTTATTTTTACCATACTCCAATGTAATACTAATATTTTTAAAATTCCATATAAAAAATAAACAGATACATAAATATGACACTGAGAGAGTATAAGAAAAATATAATATACACACATTAAGATAATTTTTATATATTTTATATAAAAAAATCAACAATTAAATACAAAATATTATTTTTAAATTATAATATAATTCCACATACTTAATAAATAAAAAAAAAACATTTTAGCTTATTTTATATCTGATTGACAAGTAAAAAAAAACCAATTTAAAAGTTTGATAAATTAATTTTTTGAAATAACTTATTAGATTCGAAATGAAGTTTTGAAAAACTATATAATTCAGTGTTTCATAAGATTTTTTTCAATTCTATTGTTTTATTCTTTATTCGTCATTAAAAACTACAATATTTATTTCACATACATATAAATATATTATGTATTGTTACACCACTCCCAATTGGCTCATAATGAAAATGCTACCGTCACACTGCATCGTGAGGTTGTAACCTCCTACTTCGGGACCCACAATACAGTGTTAAAGCTAAAATTAACCATAAAAGCGCATTATTATATAATAAAATCTGATTTATGAATATTTACAAACACGCTCTTAACACAGGAGGTTTTTACGGTTAAAAATTTACATATAATACAATAGATGTAAGTTCCTTCACTCAGCCAGTCTTCCCGAGAAGTCCTCTGTCTCGGATGTGCCATGCATACCTAAAACAAATATTTTTTTTAAAAGCAGTCTAGAATTAAATCTATTTTAAGAACTAACGTGAAATATGTCATTTCATACCTTTTTAAAATAAAGTCTAATTCCCGTCAATTATAAAATACCTGTCATGTCATGCCAATAGTGAAATGATGCAACAAAGATATCAACTTCGACAACAATGAACATCCATATATATATCCGCTGAAGTGAGCAGCCGTAATAACCTCGACTCCATAATAATAGGCTCATTGTATCCGTCTAAGTGAGCAGCCGGAATAATCACGGCCCCATAATAACAAGTTCACTGGACCATCATCAATAAATAGCTGGAAAATCCTCGACTTAAGGAAGGACATGATAAACCCATAATAATATAACGGTTGTCCAGTCACTTCCATATACCCACCATACGACCCCCACAATCAATACATGGATAGCCGAACGTTGTCGCCATTAAAATATTTTATTTAATATAAATTTTTAAAAATATATATAAGGATAATTATTAAAAAAATATATTAATATATTATTTTTATATATTTTTAATTATTTTTTAAAAATATTAAAAATGAATTATCTTTTATATTATGAGATAATTGTAAAAAATATTTTTGTAAATATTTTAAAATTTTTACTAAAAAACTTTTAAAAATACATATTAATATATTATTATATATATATATTTTAATTATTTTTTTAAAATATTATAAATTGATTATTTTTATATTATAAAATCATTGTAAAAAATATTTTTACTGAATTATAAATATATATCAAATAATTTTAACCAAAAAGTGAAAATAATAATAAATATGACTTATAATATGATTATATTGAAAATATGGTCGTGAACATGACTTAAAACATGGCTGCAGAGTCGTGAACATGACTTAGAATATGAATGTGTTCGGAACACACCACGGGCAATAACACAGCCGTGTTCAGAAGTGCAGGGTAATCAACACAACCGTATTTAGCCCAATACGGCCGTGTTGGCTGCCTGGGATGCCCAACTACCTTTTGAGTAATCCAACACGAGCCGTATTCAGTCTCAGTCAACCATCTTAGAATTAAAATTGATAAATTTTTATTTGAGTGAGACTAAAATTGATAATTATGATATTGAATGAGATTTTTGCTCTTCTTATTATTTACAAAAATAATATTCATATTTTCTATATCAACTTTGTTTATATAAAAAATAATAAAGTAATTTTATAATTTACAAAGTTATTAATTTACATTATATAAATATAGCAATGACCATAAGAGCATCCCTTACAGTCACCATCATCATTGTCTTTGTGATTATTTTCTTGATTTTTACTATAATAATACTCGTTATATTTAATAAGAAATACAATTATTCTAAATTTATTATCTTTTTTAAAAATTGGTTACCTTCAACAAAAATAATAAAAATTAATAAGTATTATTTTGTTTTGATATCGTAAAATTTTAAATTTCAATTTCAATAAAAATTATCTATAGATATATTTAAAACTCATTAACCAATTATAACGTTTTATCTATTATATTTTATAATTTTTTTTGTCTTTAGTTTTTTCTATTCAGATTTTAAAATAATAAATTATATAGTTCAAATTATTAAAATTTATATAAATTAATATTATAAGATTAAAATATAATATCATAAAAAATATTATTAAATAATAAAAATATAAAATTATATTTAAATAAATAAATTATTGGAGATATTATAAAATAGTAAAAATAATGACGTGAAAATAATTAATTATAATGGGTGATAAAAAATATAATTTAAATATTAAAATAAATATAATGTGAATGAAAAAAAAAATAAAAAATAATAGCTTAAATGTAAAGACTATAACGACTGCTCTAACGACGTAAAGTAAACTGCAATACCCAATGAGACGATGCGACGAGGGTTGACGCTTACAGCGAGCACAGGTGACGCTAAATAGGACTACGACGTCGTTTAGAGGCAGCCAAACCGCCAATAGATCGCCCGGCAACCACTTGCACTGCTATTAAAACCCTAATGGCGGCAATCCTCCCAACCACGGTTTTCTTTCGTAATTGAGGCGAGAGCCGAGTAAGTACAAAGCGTAATCTCGGATGGGAGTCCATGGTTTATGGGAGCTTCTGGCCCCCGTCGGCCGCCGCGTCTCCGTCGAAACCCTCGCCGGGAAAAAGCTCGCCATCGGTACCCGCCAAAACCTTAATTCGATAGTACACTTCTCCTTAATTTATATTTATAGCTATTTGTTCTGTGTCTGTACTGATTGTAGATGCAAGTATATGGATGATACAATTTATGAAGGCGATGCGAGATGAGAAGGGAGAGATGGTCCGGAACGCGCACATTTTGGGATTCTTCCGTAGAATTTGCAAGCTCCTCTATCTCAGGACAAAGCCTGTTTTCGTGTTTGATGGAGGCACACCGGCTCTTAAACGGCGGACAGTCATTGCTCGCCGCCGGCAGCGCGAGAATGCCCAGGCTAAGATTCGAAAGACCGCTGAGAAGTTATTGCTAAACCATGTGAGTTGTTTGTAGCTTCTTGTTATGTTCACTTGTCTTAAAGAATATCTTAGCGGTAAAAGATTATGTTTTTCTAATAGTTCATGAAGTCGAATTTTTTGGTGGTAATGTAACTGAAGGATTGTTTTGAGCGCTTTCTTTCTTTTTGATTATGTAGTTAATTTCTTTGACGGCCTAGAATAAAATTACGATGTTAGCCACCTTGTGGGGTAATGTTCACCTTATTGATGATAGCTTAGGACAATGAGGGCAAAAGAATTGGCAGCCAACCTTGAGAAGCAGAGGCAGGAGAATGATGCTAAAGGGAAAAGGCCCATCATAGATGAATCAACTAATGCGCACAACACAGAGGAAGGAAATGATGCTGGTGTGAATTACAGTCAGGAACAGCTAGATGAGATGTGAGTGCTATGATTTATTCTTTTATACGATTGTTGGAATGATTATAATCTTCATTGATTCCAACACGAATTGATTAAGGTTGGCAGCCTCACTTGCTGCAGAGGAGAGTGAAGCTTCTGCTTTTGATGCGTCAGCATCTGGTGGTGCTGTTCCTGATGGACAGGAGGATGATGAAGAAGATGAAGAAATTATACTAGTAACACATGCGAACTTATATATATCAGAAACTGTAAATAAGTATCAGCATCTTACCTTCAGTCTCTAAAGTTTTATTTCTTGTGACAGCCAGAAATGCAAGGAAAAATTGATCCTGCTGTCCTGGCTGCTCTACCCCCATCGTTGCAACTTGACCTCCTTGTTCAGGTGTCTTTAGCTCTTTTACTATCGGTTACTTTCCAAAATTCATTGTGTCATGACTCATGAAATAAGATTGTAAATAATTTCAATATAAGTTAGCCTGTATTTAGGAGTTAGCTTGCATACAGGAGTTGGCTTTTATTTATTAGGAAATATTCAATTATCGTGATTAACAGTTAAAAAACCTTATGTATATATGACATGCAACCTCTTGCATAGCGATGAGAAGTTAATTTCCCAACCTTTTTCATATTACATGGCATCAGAACCCTACTGTGAAGTAGGGTTTGAGATATAAATGAATAGTATGGAGATTGATTTCAAAAGAAGGGTTAAATGATGGTTGATTTCTGTAGAGTATGTGCAGGCAGTGCAGCATTTGGGAGATATTTTAGCAAACCATTAAATGAAGATCAAGTTGATTACATTTGTGGGAAGCTGGGGATGACTGGCTACTAAGATCTAGCTTGATGGTCAAAATTATGAATAGGAATGTATATATGTTTATGTGTTAGTCCCTGTATTTAGATATTTATTTATTTATTAGGAAGCAATCAATTAGCATTGTTATATAGTTATGACATCTCGTTACATGAATATGTAAACTCTGCATCTGAATGTGATGAGACGAATGTATTCCCTAAATCTGTTCATTACATATGTTACCTTCTAATCTCCTATTTGCAGATGAGAGAGAGACTGATGGCCGAGAACAGGCAAAAGTATCAGAAGGTGAAAAAGGTACAAATTGCTTCATATTGCATATGGGAGCTTGTGACTATGTTTATTTTCATTATCTTCGGAAAGTAACTCATTTATATATGTCTAATATATCATTCCACTAGGACACACACATGCACACATCTATGTAATCACTTGTCTTTTGTAATGAAGCTCATATTTGTCACTTGTTCTTATTATTGCCTATTTTTATGCTAACAACTCAGCATTTTGATTAAGTTTTGACTTACTGATTCAGGCCCCAGAAAGGTTTTCAGAGCTACAAATACAGGCTTATCTCAAAACAGTGGCCTTCCGCCGTGAAATTGATGTGGTTCAAAAAACTGCTGCAGGCAGGGGAATAGGTGGCATGCAAACTTCTCGAATTGCCTCTGAAGCCAATAGGGAGTTCATTTTTTCCTCATCATTTAATGGAAACAAGCAGTGCGTAACAACATATCTATGTTTCAATTGGTCATGAAGTCATAATTATTTTCTTAAATGTAGAGGTTTTGTGCTGTGTATAGCATCTGTTTGATACATATATATATATTATTATAAAACAATCTTGCTAAGTTAAGTGATTTAATTTGTTCTGGGTTTCAGAACCCTTACAGCCATTGAACAAGGGAAAGTTGGAGCTGATGAAAATCGGCCACCAGCAGTGAATATGTCTACTGAAGCTAGTACCCAAGTGATTCAATCCAAAAATTCTGGCAATAATGCTGGATCAGCTGATGTTGGAACTGGAAAGGCATTTCCTGATGATGTGGAGACATATCTAGATGATAGAGGTCAACTTCGGGTCAGCAGGGTAAGAGCATTGGGAATTCGCATGACACGGGATTTGCAGAGAAATTTAGATTTGATGAAAGAGTATGATCAAGAGAAGGAAGTAGATCTGGAGAAAAGGAGTGAAAGTAACACTGTTGCAACTGTAGATAATGGTGAAGATGACTCATGTGACACAACTCAACTTCGAGAAATTACTGATAACAATAACAATGCTGATGTAAATGATAATAGAGTTGTCAAGACCAAGGAGCCTACAATCCTGAATGGAAATTCCATTGAGATTTCTTTTGACGATATGATGGAGTGTGAACAAACAAATGATGATGACGATGAGTTATTTGCTTGTCTAGTTTCTGGAGACCCTGTAATTGATTTCACTGCTGATAAATCTGCCCCAGGGAAGCAATCTTCACATAGTGATTCAGATGTTGAGTGGGAAGAAGGAGATGTTACAGAAAATATATTAGAGGGGCACATGAATGATGAGGAAGAATTTCAGTGCAAGGAAGGATTTCTAGATAATATAGAAGTTCCATCTTGTTTGAATGGAAGCAGACAAACTGTATCAGAGGTTTCTCTGCAAGAAGTTTCAGTGAAACAATCTTTAAATCGAGATTCAGATCTTGAGTGGGAAGGAGAGGGTATGAATAAAGGGACATCAAGTATACTTGAAAGGGGCATGAATGATACGGCTGATGTTGACCATGGTGCAGGATTTCAAGATATTCAGGCGTCTTTGGCATTGCCAGACAAAAGCAATAAAACAGTAACGAAGGGTGCTCGGGAGGAGGAAGCTGATTTGCAGGAGGCAATTAGGAGGAGTCTTGAGGATGTGAAAGGGTGCAGCTCTGTGACTGATGTTTGTGATAATTTCTTATCTGACAGAGGTCAAGACATGGTTAGTGAGCATACTGATTGGGGTTCGGGTTATGAAGGAAAAGAAGGGCCTGTGGTTAATGCCCCAGCAGCTGGTCTAGGCCAACCATTTGGTTTAACGAACATCCTAAAACCCAACTTTTCAAAAGCAGACTCTGCTCCAATTGTGGGCTTAAGCCCTGACAAAAGAAATTTAGATATGAAGAATTTGAATCAAGATGCTGGTGGAAGTGGAGCTTTGGCTGAAGAAATACTTACAACATCAGATTCTCGGCCTGAAGTGACGTTACTTTCTATAACAGGAAAGAAAGCAAAAGACCTTGGTAGTGAAGATGACAGCGGGAAAGCATTGGCTAAGCAAGTGGATATTTCTAGAGGTGAGAAGGCACATGGTAAATTTGGATCTCAGTTGAGTTCTTCCTAATTTAATTTACTGTTTGGGAAAGTGATCGATTCTGGCTCGATACTGCTTGAAGCATGTTTTCAGGAACATTTTTCCAGTGCTTTCGATTCCAAAATGTTTGGAGTTGCTTCTTGTGATGACTTAGTAACTAATGCAGATCATGCAACTGAAATGGCCAAGGAAGAAATGCATGGCTATGTTTCAACGGATAAGGATGAACCAGTTGGGAGCTATTCACTCGTTGATGATATTCAGGAGCATGAAATTATGAAGGACCGTCTGGAGGAAGAAATGTTGTTTCTTGGTAAAGAGCGGGAAGATCTGGGAATTGAGCAACGGAAACTTGAGAGAAATGCAGAATCAGTTAGTGGTGAAATGTTTGCGGAGTGCCAGGTATGTTTCTCCACTGTGGGATGGGTTTTAGTTAAGTTCTCCAACATATACCATGATAACTTGCTGAAGAAACTTATTTATTGTGTTACGGTTAGAGATTATGTTGACTGAAATGAATTTTGTCACTTGTTGAATATGCATACAGCACTGAACCTACCCTGTTGAGCTGCGTGTAAAAATCTACGGTTTCACTTATTAGAGAAACAAGTCATATAGCCCTGTTCATTTTATAGACCATAGCATAATTCTTTAAGACCAAAGGGAAGATATCTTGTTCTGGTTTTTTAATGAGGGGTTTTTGGCTTTCCATTATCATTAGTGGTTCCAATTTATTGAAAGTTAGTGTTGTCATTTGATACTCCTGTCAATTTATAAGGTATTCTGTCTGCCTTGCGATTCTATAATTGGCACCTCATTTGGCATTTTTGTTAGCCCCCCAAAAATCGATCTCCCAAATATGATCGTTCCTAAAGTGTGTAATTCCCTAAATAAAAAATTTAATAAGTGCGAAGGATTTATAGGGTTTTGGTTGAGATGATGCGTTGCAGGTTTTTGTATCAGTTGGTAGTTTCATTGCTAAACTTGTGATGCCAATCTTCACTATGATTATGGATATTTAAGATCCTGGTTGTTTTAACCCTTGGCTGCTCATTTTACCTGCAGTTTCAGGATGATTTTCCTAAAATAATACTTTCCTGAGTATTAAACTTCAGTTTACTTGTCAATTTTCTCGTTTGATTAATGGATCATTTTCATATTATTTAGGAGCTGCTTCAAATGTTTGGCTTGCCATATATTATTGCACCTATGGAAGCTGAAGCTCAATGTGCTTTCATGGAGATGTCAAACCTTGTTGATGGTGTGGTCACTGATGACTCTGATGCATTCTTGTTTGGGGCGCAAAGTGTGTACAAAAATATTTTTGATGATCGCAAATATGTGGAAACATATCTAATGAAGGTGATTTTGTATATCAACTTTTATAAGCTAATATTTCAGAATTCATAATAGAAGTTCTGCTTATTTTCAATTAAAGGTTAATGGGTTGTGATTTCTCTTTCAACACTGACATCATTTAATAATTTCCGGGAATGTTAAAGCTCTCTTGAGCTAGGACTGCCTACTGTTTTGTTCTGTAATATTCACTGTTTTGATGTCATGTTGGTTTTTGACACTTATCTTGTTTCTAGGATATTGAAAATGAGCTTGGGTTAGATCGAGAGAAATTAATCCGCATGGCACTGCTTCTTGGGAGTGATTACACGGAAGGAGTTAGGTAATGCTTCCATTCAGTTCATTTGCTAATCCTATCGGAAGTTTCTTATCTTCCCCTTCATCCTACATAAAGTAGGTTTCATTATTTTTCATAATGAGAGCTCTTGTAGTTTTGATTGAGTGATCAAATTTATATGGTATCTATTAACTTAGTGTCCATGTTACAGTGGCATTGGCATTGTTAATGCAATTGAGGTTGTAAATGCATTTCCTGAGAAGGATGGTCTTCGTGATTTTCGGGAGTGGATAGAATCACCAGATCCTGCTATTCTTGGAACATTAGATGCAGAACCAGGACGCAACTCGAGGAGGAAAGGATCAAAAAGCAGTGAGAATAACATAAATAACTCAAGTAGTGAGATAGAAGGGAGTTCGTTGAATCAGAATGTTCCTGAGAGAGCCGACAATTTAAGACTAAAGCAAAATTTCATGGATAATCATGTAATCAAACGTTCTTTCAGTTTCCCTCTTATTAGGTTATGAATAATGAGTCTGAATTTCTCTGCATGTTGGAACATTTTCTGTTGTCCAGAGAAACGTGAGCAAAAATTGGCATATTCCCTCAACGTTTCCAAGTGATGCTGTGATTTCTGCATATGCTTCACCTCAAGTGGACAAGTCTACAGAACCATTTGCATGGGGAAAGCCAGATCTGCATGTCCTTCGCAAGTGAGTCAAATGCTCTATCATTTTTCCATCTTAATATTGATTCCATGTGGTTCTGTAGAGTATAGTGGATTGCATAGTCAAACTGTCTGGTATGGCTTATGTACCGAGTAATGGAAGCAACTTTGAGTAGGAGTTAGAATGAAATGAAGTGCTGGTAAAAAGAGTGAGAAACATGTTGAGAAGGTATATAACGATTTGGCTGTTGACCTTTTGAGTTCTAGGAAGCTGAAGTACTGAGCCATCCGATAGAAGTCAGCTTAATTGATGTTGTTGGTTTCTGTAAGCGTAAGTTAGGTGTGAAATGGTCAAAATTTGATTGCTCACCAAAATGTGTTGAAGCATTAGCTTTGATACTGATATTTGTTTATGTGTACAAAATGCATTGAATATAGAGAGTAATGCATGAATTTGAGGACATTTCTCTTGAAATGCATAACTTCCCTGTTTATCACATGCATTACAAACAACATAAGACATGATCAAATGTTAACTAACTTGTAGATTGTGCTGGGAGAAGTTGGGGTGGGGTGCGGCGAAAGCTGATGAATTGTTGTTGCCTGTTCTGAAAGAGTACAACAAACATGAGGTTGATCTCTCTTCTCTTCACTCTCCCTGTCTCTCCTACAAATTTTTACTCGGGTGCAGCTTTTGTATCAATTATATATATCATGAAGACTCCTGACCCAATGTCTTTTTGATGTTCTGGTATGATAGACACAATTGAGAATGGAAGCATTCTACTCGTTTAACGAAAGATTTGCAAAGATTCGAAGCAAGAGAATAGAAAAGGCTGTCAAAGGAATGACGGGGGTGAAATCTTCTGAGCTTATGGAGGGGACGGGACAGCCAAAATCTAGAGGCGGAAAGAAAAGAAAAGTGAAGCACAGCGAAGAGGAAGAAGCAGTTCGACCAGGAGTAGGTCCATCAGCTCTTGGTACTTCCGGAACCAGTGAGCAAAAGAATGCTGTGAAGAAACCAACTGCTAAGAAATCAAGAGGAGGAAGGGCTTTGCCGAGAAACTTAGATGGCCATCTTGACAAAGCTGTGAATGAATCAGGCGTAGAAGGAAGACGACTGGGAGGTCATGGCAGAGGAAAGAGAAGTGGGACATGGCGCAAGAAAAGGAATTCTCCTGCTTCCGGCTCCGAGAGCAGCTACAATGAGGGAAGCAACAGTGAAAGAGATGAAGAATTACAACTTGACAGAACAGAAGAAGCTAATGAAGTTAGAAGGGTAAGTTGATTTTGTTTGCCTTTGATGCACAATATATACATATATATATTATCTTAATGGTTTATGATCTTATTGGGGTGTTATGAAGTTGTGTTACTGGTTTTGGAATCACTGGCTTATTTTGTTTTGTTCATTTCTTATTTAACCGACAGTCAGGGAGGCTTCGGAACAGTGTAAATTACACCGTTGTTTCTGATGAATCTGACAGTAATGACAGCAAGGAGACTGAAACTTGCCGGAAGGAAGGTCCAACAACAGCTGATGAACCATATGTGGAACAAGCAATGGCTGAAACTACTGAAAGTGACATCATTGAAAAGGATGATGGGAATAAACTTTACCCGGACAATCATGAGATTGAATGCCAAATTGAGGATCCTCTTGATCAGAAGCAATCATCCAAGGATTATCTTCAGTTCGGGGGTGGATTTTGCACAGAAGATGACGATGAACAAATGGAGACTGAGATTGCGGTCGTAGAAGAATCTGATCATGTTCCTGAAAGTGCTGCTGGTGATCATGAGGCAAAACAAACTCGTGAGATTGATCCATCAGCTGCTGCCTCAAGTCCTTCCAGAGGGAAGAATAATTTGTCTGATTCAAATTTGAACCCTTCAATGCTTGGTGATGGTGATGCTGATGGAGATGATCCTGAGAGAGATTCTGGAAACTGCAACCAAAATTTGCTTCGAGCAATGCCTAATCTGAGGAGGAAGAGGAAAACTTGAGATTCAGTGACTGAAATTGTCATCATCATGTGTATACGCACTTTTTGCCTTTCTGGATATTTCCTAACTTAAAATACACGTGGTATTTATATACTCCTAGCTTGTGGGAACCTTGGTCCCGGAGTGCCCACGCACATGCATATGTTTCCATCAAAATTCGGGCACTCCCGGACCGAAACACGTGTATATCTATAAGGGTGTACATTCGTGGCTGGTTAACTCACGGGGATAACAAAAAAAACGGTTGACTCGCAACTTGATCCGAACTCCAGATTTGACTTAAATTCTAGATCAAAATATGATATGAATTTTTTCAATTCGGATTCAAGTTGACTTAAATTAGTTTCAACTCATTTGAGATCCGAACAAATAATAATAATTTTATGCACGTAATTCGAAATTTAACCTAATTTTTATATTTAGAATCATCAGATCAATTCATATAAATTTTTTTCATTTCAGATTTTATTTTTCGAGTGGGGTTTAATTTTGACATATATATATATGAGTGTGTTTTGTTAGAATAAATTTAAAAAATTTTAATTTGAATTTGACTTTTATTTTATTTTATAACTTTTAAAAAATATATTTTTTTAGATTAATAGATTTGATTTGAATTTAAAAATTATTTATTTATTTATTTATTATATATATATTTTTTATAACGTGAGAAACCGTTACTTAAAAATCTGTTCCGGATAAACTATTAATAATAATTATTTTAATTTAGAATATATATTTTTTAATTATAATAATATTATAAAAAAATTGAAAAACATCTTCTACAATCCCTAGCCTTGCCTTCGTTCTCTTCTCTTTTTCTTCTTCTTCCTATTCTTCGCCTTGTTATTTTGTTTTTACTCGTCTTCTTCCCTTAAATCTTTTCTTGCAGTCCGCCTCTGCCGCCGGTGATCCTCGCCGTTATCCTTCCTTGAACAGTGGCTTTGGAAGATAGGTTTCGATTTCTTTTGTGGTATTGGGAGTTTATTAAAATGAAAAGAGGAAAAGTTAAAAAGTGATCAGTGCCTATACATATAGATGCTCAGAAGATGTTGGCTATGGTTGATCTCGCGTCAAAATCTTAATGCACAGACCACAGTAGGTTTGGGAAACTAATGGCTAAAGAAGAACACCCTATATTTTCCATCAAAATTTAATTTGGTCCAGTGTGTGGGCGCTCTGGACGAATTTTGATGGAAACGTGGGCAAACCTGTTCCACAGATTACTCCACGCCTTGAAACATTTCCCATCAATGAAGGGGAAAACGATAATAAACTGTAGTTGTTGTCGGTAGCTTTTTTCCATATTCACTGCTCTTGAGATGTTAATGTCAGGGGGGCCAGAGGGATGCGCCATTATATACTTGCTCCGATCGTCCGTACGTCGGAGCGGGATTAAAGGATGCCGATGCAGGGAAGACGTTACTGGCTATGGGAACTGTTGATCTTCACCGCTATGGTAGCGCTGGAGTGCGCCGTTGTCGGCCTCACCACTATCTACAAAGCCGCCATCACCAAGGGTTTGAACTACCACGTTTACATGGCGTATACCTACGCCATCGCCGCTGCCTTCCTCCTACCTCTCGCTTGTCTCAGCCACAGGTATCAATCAATTTCCTTCCCCGTTAATTTCTTCGCTGAGCATTTGAATAATCGAATGTGTTCTGTTCTACTGCAGGAATACGCCGCTGCCTCCATTAACCGTCGTCCTGCTCGGCAAATTCTTCATTCTCGGTTTTCTAGGGCATGTTCCCTTCCCTGCGTAGTAATTTCCGGTTGATTGTTTTGCTGGAGACTATGAATTGAAGTAAATTACACGGTACAGGTTTACAGAACAATACCTGAAGTATTTGGGCATGGCGTATAGCAGTCCAACTCTTGGATCCGCCATGGGCAATATCAATCTTGCCTGTACCTTCTGTCTTGCTATTCTCTTCAGGCAGTGCTTCACTTCTATTCAATTTCCTTACTCAATTTAAATTTAAGCACTCTCTTGCTTTCATGGGCTGCTGAATGATTAATTTTAACTCATATTATGTATACACATGTATCTTGTATCTGTGAATCTGAAAATTGGTTTGATGCTGGTAATCTGGTTAGGATGGAGAAGTTAAAGCTGAGAAGTTTAAGTAGTCAGGCAAAGATCATTGGAGCTTCAATGTCCATTGCAGGTGCTCTAGTCATCGTGCTGTACAATGGCCCGATGCTTATACCTGCACATGATAAGGACTTAAGAATATCAATTACCGATCGTGTAATGTCTGGTGCTCAGTATGATTGGATACTCGGTGGTACCTTGCTTGCTGCTGGAAATGTAGTCTCATCCATTTGGTACATTTTCCAGGTCATATCTACTTCGGTTTAGTTGTAATTATCATCTCAGACATATATATATATATATGATATATTTTGATTTCTGATATGTTAATATCTTGATCCGTAGATTATAATTAGCTGAATTCAAGTGGTTTAAAAATATGAATTTGAGCAAATTCTTGATGCTAGGAAAGACACCTTAAGGAATGCTACCATTATTTACAGATAATCTATCTTACAGGCCAGCAGTTAGTTACTTTGGCTAGTGACAATTTGTATACATGAAAGCACATTGAGTTGAGCCGTGGACTCCGTATCATAGTTAACACAATTACTGATTTATTTGTGTGCAGACAATTTTTGTGAAGGAGTATCCGGCAGAGTTCATATTAGTGTTCTTCTTCAGTTTCTTTGGCTTCTCTCTAGCCTTGCCTGTCGGCATTGCCTTCGAACCCCATCTCAGCTCATGGATCATCCCTCCGGATATTCGCCTGGTGTCTGTGCTCTACTCGGTACATTACATATCAGCCACACCTAAGTATATACCATATCCTATCATATCATATCATATCATATTGTGTTGATCTGATTCAAACACAATTACTGATTTATTTGTGTGCAGACAATTTTTGTGAAGGAGTATCCGGCAGAGTTCATATTAGTGTTCTTCTTCAGTTTCTTTGGCTTCTCTCTAGCCTTGCCTGTCGGCATTGCCTTCGAACCCCATCTCAGCTCATGGATCATCCCTCCGGATATTCGCCTGGTGTCTGTGCTCTACTCGGTACATTACATATCAGCCACACCTAAGTATATACCATATCCTATCATATCATATCATATCATATTGTGTTGATCTGATTCAATGGATAGTTGAAGGAAGTTGAAATGTGTGTAGGGTATAGTTGGAACTGGAATCGGGTACGTGATTAACGCGTGGGGTTTGCACGTTAAGGGCCCTGTTTACGTCTCCCTGTTTAAGCCTCTGGCGATCCCCATTGCCACCGTCGCCGGGGTCATTTTCCTCGGAGATCAGCTCTATCTTGGCTGGTAATTATTTAATTGATTGATTAATTCATGCATCTGTTATTTAGTACTGATCTGATGGTGTCAATAATGTATATGCTGTTGGATGAAATAATTCAGTAATGTAACAATAGTCTGATTATTTACCCATTAGAGTGATGAATAATTGGAAATTGGTGTGTTTTTGTTTATGTAGCGTGATGGGATCCATAATTATTGCAGTCGGATTTTACACACTCATGTGGGGGAAGCTGAAAGAGGAGATGGTCGAGGAGCTGTCCCCGCCGTCGGATCATCATTCGGCGGCAGACTCATCGGACGGCTTGGATGATATCGTCGCGCCTCTCATAAAACGTTGAGTTCATTAGAATATGTACGTATATGCATACATTAGTATGTTACGCCGTGCAAAATAATGCATGCATATTGGTATTATTTTGGGGCAAAATTAATCGTAGTTTGAAAATTCGGCATCATCCATTTAGCGATTTAAAAATATTATATATACTTTTTTTAACGTTTTATGTAATTTTTGAATTATAAAGAATAATGGTACAACTTTTCAAATGATAATAGTTCATAAGTAATTTTCTATCATCTCATCATTGTATATGCAAATATAACATAGATTGTACTCTTGGTGGCTTATGGATGGATTCGTTTTGCAGGTTATTAAGTTCCGTCGAAGGGAAAGGTTAGGGTGTTGAATTTGGAAAATCAGTACCATGCTGATTTTTCAAATTATCATATGTAAAATATAGAAACAACAGACGTCTTTATTATATACGACATGTATTGTTTGTAATAAAGACATGTGTTGTTAGTTCATAATTATAGCATGTGTTGTATGAGAGTATGGGCTGAATTGAAATCAAGTATTGTTAGTGTTGTGTGAAACAATATAATGTGTTTTATTTGTATTATATTAAAATATATTATGTGTTGTTTACGGTAACTATTCAGCATTCAACATTGTAGCCACCGGCTCAGCCGAGATTACGAATTTTTACATTATAAATTATTTTTTTTATACTTTTGACTTTTAAGATCAAAATCGGACATTAATTGATTAATATGTTGTATTAAAATAATTTATTTACCATCTATTTTTATACTTACTTAATTGTAATTTTTTTAGTTGTTTCTTTATAGAATAATTATATTTACTTTTTGCCCTTATAAAAAATAAAAAACTATAAATTTTTACCAATACATATTGAAATTCATGTTAAAAAAACATTAGGGTGTGTTTGTTTGTGGTTTTGGGATTTTGTGTTTGGATTTATTAATGGTGAAAAGTGAATTTGAATAGTTATTTGAAGATATATAAATAGACGTTGATGTGATGGTTTAAATATAAAATAAATTTATAGTATAAGGTCATCTCCAATTCATTATTTCATTTAGTTGGTCTATATCATTTTACTCTGACCACAAACTTCAATTTTTACTCTAAAAAAAATATATTTTCTATATATTTTACTTTTATATTACTTTTTATATTTATAAATTACACCATAATTTTAATTTATTTTTACATTATCACTAAAAATATATAATTCATATTTTATTTATAAAATTATATATCACTTTCTAAAAAATAAATTATATATTATTTTTTACAAAAATAAAATTATATACTCCCTCCGTCCGCTTTAAAAGTTTACGTTTACTTTTTGCATCATTGTACTTAACATTAAAAATATCATTGTATTTGTATAAATTTGTATACAAATATCATTATATTTATATTATAAGACATTAATAGAAGCATTTTTGTCTTTGTTTACTTAATTTATATTATGTTTTGATATAATAATTAATATTAAAAAATAACACACAAAAAGTAAATGTAAACCTTTAAGATGGACGGAGGGAGTATTACTTTCCAAATAAAACAATATATATCACTTTTAAAAAATAAAATTATATATTATTTTAAAAAAATAAAATTTTGTATCAATTTCCAAAAAATAAAATTATATATCACTTTTTAAAAAATAAAATTACACCAAACACCTCAAAACTAATAAAAATACACAAAATACTTGCTAACACTGTAGTTATCCCATAAAAATGGGGTGTTAGGAGCTCCAACCCCACCCTCTAACCCACCCATTTTCAGTCAATCCTGCATTAAAAAAAATAATAATAAATAAATAAATAATTGTTTAATTTGATATTTTTAAAAAGAAAGAAAAATAAAATATGATAAATTTATCTTTTATTTAAACATATAAAAAATTGATGTGATATAAATTACGGGATGTATTCAACTATAATTTTAATTGGATTTATTTGAATTTTAAAAAATTTAGATTTAAATGGATTTAGAAAAAATATAGAATTTATAAAGATTTTTGTAAATTTTGCTTGTTAATTTATATGAATTTTGATAAATTTCATTAGATTATTATTAGTTCTAAATAAATATGAATGTGTTTGTTTTGTAAAATAATATAAATTGATAAATTTTTATATAAGATATGAAAAATTATGTAATAAATCGTAAAATAATAAATGTGTATAATATATTAATATTTTTAAAAAAATTCGTGTGTACAAAATGTTAAAAGAACACATTCTATATTATATTATTATTATTATTATTATTATTATTATTATTGTTATTATTATTTCCTTCTTTGATTTTTTTAATAATAATAATATTTTAAAATTTATAATTTTTATTATATTATAATTCAACATATCAATAATTTTTAATAATAATTTAATATTTAGTTTAATTACTTATTAATTATTTTTATCTTGTTACAATTTACTTAGTTATTGTAAAAAAAACACATTTTTAAATAAAATAACATCAAAATTGATGTTCTTTTAAAATTGAAATAAAAAAAAAAGAACTAAAAAAAATAAATATAAATTAATAACCTTTTTAATTAAACTGAAATCGAAATAAATAAATATAAATTAAAATTATAGAAAATTTAATTTTTATTTGATCTTTAAAAAATTAAAATTGATAATTTTGTTTCGTACTATTTGAGGAAGTCTATTTTTTTATTTTAAAAATATATATAATTATCAGTATTATTTTTAATATATAAAATTTTAAAATATTTATAATTTTTATATTTATATTTGAATTTTCTTATTTTTACTGATATTATTATAATAAAATTTTAAATATATATTAAATAATATTTCATCTGTGTCACATAATTTGTTTTTATTAAATATATAATTATTTTTATTATAATATATTTTTTAATTATTTATTAATTATAATTTATCTAAATTCTGGTATAGACGCAAATTATACGAGACATAGAGAATATATACTTATTAATATATTATTATTATTATTATTATTATTATTATTATTTAAGTTTTGAGAATTTATAAATTTCATGTCACAAGAGTGTGTTTAAGTTTTGAGAATTTATAAATTTCATGTCACAAGAGTGTGTTTATATGTAAGATTTTGGTTTTGATTTTTAGTTTTGAATAGTAAAATTTTAAATTGAAATAATTGTTTGATGGGATATAAATATGTATTAATGTCATATTTTGAATGTAAATTTTAATTTTAATGTAATATAATAAATAAAAAAATATGTGTTTAATTTGATATTTTGAAAGTAAAAAAAATATTAGAAATAATAAAATCGAAAAGAGTGAATCATGTGCTGAATTATTTAGTATTATAATTTTTATCATCAAATAATACAAATAATATTATTATAATAGGGTTTGTTTGTTTGGATTTTTATTTTGAGTTGGACTTGAATAATAACAATTTTGAATTGAAATAATTGTATAATGCGATATAAATTCGTGATATGATATTTACTGTTGTACCTTGAGCTTACGGTTGTACCTTGAGCTGAAACGTAAACTACATGGTTTAACGAGGGGGAAGACGATGTATTTGTTTTAGTACTAGTGATTTCATTGAGGGAGAAAAACGAGTATTTGTTGTCGGTAGCTAGTCTTCATATTCAATCGTCTTTGAGATGTCGATGTCAATGTCAGGGCCAGAGGGAAGCGCCAATATATATATACTTGCTCCGGTGATCCGTCCGTTTCGCGATTGAAGGATGCCGATGCAGGGAGGGCGCTACTGGCTATGGGAGCTGCTGGTGTTCGCCGCTATGGCGGCGGTGGAGTGCACCAACGTCGGCGTCACCACCATCTACAAAGCCGCCGTCACCAAGGGTTTGAACTACCACGTTTACATGGCCTATTCCTACGCCATTGCAGCTGCCGTCCTCCTCCCTCTCGCTTGTCTAAATTGCAGGTGTCAATCGATTTCCTTCACCGTTAATTTTATCGCTCAAAATTCGAGTAATCGAATCTGTTCTTACTGCAGGAATACGCCGCTGCCTCGATTTACCGTCGTTCTGTTCGGCAAATTTTTTGCCATCGGCTTTCTAGGGTATGTTCGCTTCCCTGCGTAGTAATTTCCGGTTGATTGTTTCTCTGGATACTGCAAATTGAAGTAAAATCACATATATATTTACAGGTTTACAGGACAATCCCTAATGTTTTTGGGCATAGCGTATAGCAGTCCAACTCTTGGATCTGCCATGAGCAATCTCACTCCTGTCTGTTCCTTCTGTCTTGCTATTCTCTTCAGGCAGTGCTTCACCTCTATTGAATTTCCTGATTCTCAATTTAAGCACTCTCTTATGTATATAATATACACACTGTGAATCTGAAAATTGGTTTGATGCTGGTAATCTGATTAGGCTGGAAAAGTTGAAGCTGAGAAGTTTAAGTAGTCAGGCAAAGATCATCGGAGCTTCAGTGTCCATTGCAGGTGCTCTAGTCATCGTGCTGTATAATGGCCCGGTGCTTATATCTACACATGATAGGGCCGACTTAAGAACATCAATTATGTCTGGTGTTGAATTTTAGATGCCCGATTCTTAAAGCGGAAGCATACCTGATGAAGCCATATACAAATATTGAGTGATTAAAGGTTTGGTCTTCAAAGATCAGAGAGCCGGCTTCTTTTCTGTCCTTGACGGGTGAGGAGCAGAAACTGCAGGGAGAATCAGATCTCTTTTACGGCGTGCTTTTCTTAATGATAATTAGACTTAGGCGTTGGACCTATCCCACTTCTCAAACAACTGTCCTTCATGAGCAGTGTTTTTCGCCGTATGAGTGAGTTGGTCTATTATTCATGCCAAGTCATGATTCATGCAACTAAGAAAATTATAAATTCATTAATAATGCATGCTGCGTTTTGACGGTGAAGATCAAGTATTTGACGTTGCCAAAGTAATATCTCTTATATGAGATCTTTTCTTGATAACGTAAGTGTTTATGTGTATTTTAATTCATGTGAGATCGGTCAGTGACGACCGCTTTGATCCGCATTGACGTGACTTATAGATAAGGTTGGTAATATACATTAAGGATCTGATAGCAAAACATTCATGAGCTCAGTGTACATTTACCAAGTGGGAGATTGTTGGATTAAAAATTCAATTGTGGGTTAAATGTAACTATTTGGGCTATCAGACTGATAGCCCAAATAGTTACATTTAACCCACAATTACTGATAGCCCAAATAGTTACATTTAACCCACAATTGAATTTTTAATCCAACATCTGGTGCTCAGTATGATTGGGTCCTCGGTGGTGCCTTGCTTGCTGCTGCAAATTTAGTCTCGACCCTTTGGTACGTAGTCCAGGTTAATTATCTTTTTGTTTAGTTTAGTTGTGAATTATCATCTCAGACACACACACACATATATATATGTAGATGATTTCATTGTACATGTTTTGTGAAGAGTTAACAATTTCTTGATCTGTAGATTAACATTAGCCGAATTCAAGTAGTTTAGTAAGATGATTCTTGATGCTAAGAAAGACACCTTAAGGGATGCTGCCATTATTTATAGATAATCTATCTTAGGCTTGTGACAATTCGTATGCAAGAAAGCTCGTTGAATTGAGTCATGGACTCTGTTTCATATAAGTTCTTTTTCTGTTTTGGACAAGAAATGGTGGACATAAATAACTACTGATTTGTTTGTGTTTGTGTGCAGACCATTGTTGTGAAGGAGTATCCAGCAGAGTTCATAGTAGTGTTCTTCTTCAGTTTATTGGCCTTCTGTCTGGCCTTACCTGTTGGCATTGTCTTCGAACCCCATCTCAGCTCGTGGATCATCCCTGCGGATATTCGCCTGGTGTCTGTGTTATTCTCGGTACATTACTTACATTACACCATACCATATCATATCTTGTGTGAATCTGATTCATTTAATGAGTAGTTGAAGGATATGGTTAAAATGTTTGTAGGGTATAGTTGGAACTGGAGTTGGGATCATGGTTAACATGTGGGGTTTGCACGTGAAGGGCCCTGTGTACGTATCCCTGTTTAAGCCGCTGTCGATCGCCATCGCCGCAGTTGCCGGCGTCATTTTCCTCGGAGATCAGCTCTATCTTGGCTGGTTAGTGATTAATTCATTAATGCATCTATTGTTTGTCTTTGCAACACAAGACAAGAGAATGGTGAATAATTGGAATTTGGTGTGTGTGTGTGTTGTGTAGTGTGGTAGGATCCATAATTATTACAGTTGGATTTTACACGCTCCTCTGGGGGAAGTTTAAAGAGGAGATGACTGAGGAGCCGTCCCCACCGTCGGATCATCATACAACAGTACTCTCATCCGACGGCTCGGATGATATCGTCGCGCCTCTCATTAAACCTTGAGTTCATTAGAATTGTAGGATATTCTGTCTATCCGACTTACTATCTCGTGACACTTTCTATTTTTATTCGTTATGTAAATGAACTAATTAATTATTTTAATTTTAATACATAATAATAATAATTATTATTATTATATCATAATTAATTTTATTAATATATAAATTTTTATAATATTTCACTTTATTTTTCATCTATTATATTATTATTTTTTAGTCGGTGTGTTCGTATCAACATAATTAACTGGGAGTATATTGCTGCTATTTACTAACAACATATGAGCGACAAATAGTACACAATATTGATGACGTGGGTGGGAATATGCAGCCGTGTGGCAGGTGGACCTGAGGGTCGGGGTTTGAATCCATACTTTTACGGTCACAAATCCAACTCATACACCATCAAGTCATTTCTTACGAACTAAAAAATAGTATATATATATATATATCTTTTTTTATTACAAATATTGAATAATGATAAAGACATTATTTCTATATTTTACGTGAATTGATCATTTGTTGCTTACCGTAGCTCTTCGTTACATATTGAGTAGGACATAATATAACTATATCCACATATCACACACTATATATTTATATAATATAAAGGTAATATTAATAAATTAATACTTTATTCGTTTTATTTTATTTTTTTATTTTTTCTATTTTTGTCTATTCTATATAATTTATTATTTTTTTAAAATATAATTATACATTTTAATAATATTTTAAAATTTATAATTTATAATTTTAATTAAATTATTTAGTTATTTTAATCTTAATATATAATTATTTCTATTAAATTATTATTATTTTCACTAATACATTCTTTAATTATTTACTAATTACACAATACTCAAAACTCTGTACCTAAGCTAAATGAGACAAATTAGTTGGGACGGACGGAATATTTTTTTTCGTCATTTAATTGTGTATTCATTTGATCGGATACGAGTTTTAAAAAAAATAGATAAAAATAAAAAAATTTACTTTAAAAGGTTAAAAAAAATAGAAAAGTCATTTTTTTATTAAATTTTTTTTTTTTAATGACAACTAAAAAGAAAGAAAAGTGAAAATAAATTTGAATAACAATCATAATAATATATAATCCCGTTTTAATACTAAGGCTCCGTTTGAAATGACTTTTGACTTGAGCTTTTAGCTTCTACTTCTAATAAAAATATTTTGTACCTATTTGCATTAGCTTATGTGCAGAAGTAGTAGGAGTTTTTTAAGCTGAAAAATATTTTAGATTGTAATTTTATTTTTAATTTATATATTATTCTTAAATTAAAATTTTAAAATATAAATAACTAATAAATATAATTAATATATTTAAAAATAAATTATAAATATTTTATAAAAAATACAATTATATTAACCAGTAATTTCAGTAGCTTAAAAGTTGTATTACATTAAAACAGTTATTTATAAAAAATTATTTTATAATGATTAATCCAAATATAAAATCAATATGCTTCTACTTTTGATTTATGCTTATTTTTTAAATTAATTCAAACTGGTCATATTACTATTGATTTATTCATTACATTTACACTTATCAATCGAATTCTTTTTATAATATGATAATTTCTCGCCGTTATTTTTCGAATGCGTTCTGAGTAAATTTTCGATCGTGTAATATTAAAAAATTAAAAATAAATGTGTTTATTGAAAAATAAAATAAAAAAATAGCACCACACTAATTTACTCCATTAAGCACAATAACCATTCTATGCATCTCCAATATGCAATCATGCGAACCTCGACGTTGACAGGTCTTGTCTGTCACTTAGGGTGTGTTTGTTTGGGGGTTTGGATTTTGAGTTGGAATTTGAATAGTAAAAATTTTGAATTTGAATAGTTGTATGACGTGATATAAATAGGTGTTAATGTGATGTTTTGAATGTAAAATTGATTTTTAGTATAATATAAAAAATAAAAAATAGGTGTTTGATTTGATATCTTTAGAAAGAAAAAATGGGATAAATAGTGAAAATCTAATCCAATCCCCCAAACAAAGACACCCTTAGTGCATTTCTCTTGTGCAACCTATTTGTAGGCTATTAAATTTGGTTGAAAGTTTACCCACCTTCTCGTACGTCAAGTAGCGATTGCAGATTCTCACGTTATATATATACATACATGCAAAAATCATAAATGTGTCACACGGTGCAAAATAATGTATATATATTGGTATTATTTTGTCTTTTATATATTGTACGGTATATTTTTATATCTTTTCTGTTACGAAAGTTTATGCAAATTTTTATATGTTGGGCTGTCATTAAAAATTGTTTTTTTCTTTAATAATTTTTTTCTTTTTAATTAAAAAATATAAAAAGTACTATATATTTTGTAAGTATATTCTTTCTATCTCAAGTCAAAATAATTTTTTTTTTAATAGATTAAAGAATAATAGTACCTCTCTTGTCCCACATATACAATTTAATTTTTTTTAAATTCCATAAAAGATGACTATTTTCTATTTTTAAATAAATTTATTCATTCTAAATATATTTAATAAATATAAATAAAAACATGAATTAAATTTTTAACTTCTTACACTAGGGCTCATTCAATTTTTTTTTTTATTTTTATCTCTTAAACAAATATTTTCATCTATATTTAAAACTTTTTATTTTTTATAAAAATTAGTTCTAAGTTAATTATAAATAAATAAATATATTTTTATTTATTTGTATTACATAAAATTTTATTATCTAAAAAATAATATTCATATTGCATATATTTTATTTTATTGAGATATAATCCTAAAAATTATTCAAAATACCAACAACACTATTAATATAAAAAATAAAAAAATAATATCATAACTTATTATTAATAACATACTAATCTACATCGCCTAAAACACCGTGTTCCAACCAAGGAGGTTATTGATGAAGTATTTTATTAATTAATAGATGTGTATAAAATAATTTTGACATTTTTGTCATTATAAGGACAAAAAATAAAAATGAATAATTTTGAAAAAAATTAGAAGTATTTTGAGTGCGACAGACGAAAATAATAAAAAAAAAACACTGAGTTTGGATGAAAAGTATGTGCATATTTTTACATTATGAATGAAGTATAAAATAAATCATACTTCCTCTCTCAAGGATAAACTTCTCATTTTGTTATTTTAGTATGTCCAAGTCAAAATTTTGTATTTTATTTTTTTAAAATGTAATTATTAATTAAATACCAAAATACCTATGTTTTTTACTTTTTTACGTTATTTTTACTTTAATATCAATGACAAAATAGATATTAAACTACTTTATTATATTATATATCTATAAAATACTAATTTATCTTGCAAAAATCAAATGAGAAGCTTACCGCCGAACAGAAGGAGCATATGTATATATTTATATATTTTGTTGATGAAAATTTCGTTGATGACAACCTACTAAATTTGGACTTGTCAGAATTGACGTGAATGGATTCTCTGACTTATTTGATAAAATATCTTGACTAATCCCACAACAAAAATCAATGTGCAGTCGGATTCGGATGATGCCAAATGCGATTAACAAGTTCAGACTTGATTTGATGTAATGAAATCGACTACAAATCGATTAACAAAAAGCAAACACTAAGACTGTAAATGAACTTGTATTATTTTAAAAAGATAAAAGTTTTAAATTGTAGAAAAATAAAATAATATGAAGCAATCAAATTTAGTGAGACAGATCTTCTGGATGGATTAAAACTAAAGGTAGTCAATAAAAGAAAATACAAGAAAGAATGTTTGTTTGGGACAAGAAAGAATGTTTGTTTGGGGTTTGAATTTTAAGATGGGATTTGAATAGTAAAATTTTGAATTTGAATAATTGCATTATGTGATATAAATAGGCTTTGATGATGCGATGTTTTGAATGTAAAATTAATTTTCAGTATAATATAAAAAATAAAAAATATGTGTTTGATTTGTTTTTTTTTTTTTTTTTTTTTTGAGAAAAAATGAGATGAATAGTAGATTTTAAATCCAATCCTCCAAACAAACAAGAAAGTAAAAAAATTGTAGGATTTGTTTATCCCTTAATTTACCATCAAGCTATGCCTTGATTTTGTTTGTTTGTTTGTTTTTTTTTTTTCATTAATTAATATATATATATATATATAACAATTTTAAATATTACATATTAATTTAAAATTTTGGGCCGGGCAAGGCATGACCTGACCTGATGAGCTCAGGCACGGTCCAGTTCATTTCCATGTGCCGGGCTGTGGAAATTTTCGAATCTATTTTCGTGTCGGATTCGCACCGTATTGGGCTTGGTTTGTTCGATCCCTGGATCTTATTTTTTATGGGCTCTTAGGCTCTTGGGCCGGATCAACTTGGGCTACCTTAATCAAATTAGAATATACATTCATAGTCTGAGTTTGGGCTATTCGATTTGGCCCATCCAATTCTTGGGTTAGACTACTAATATATCCTAAGGCCAAAAAAATGTGTGAGAGTAACAATATGATAGTTAACAAATAATTCAATTTAAAAGTTTGGATAAATTATATAACAGCCCCTTTAATTTTAGTAAAAATGCACAAAACACTCTATATTTTATTTATTGCATAAAACTCCCTTGTGTTAATGCAAAGTTCACAGGAAACACTCTCTTTGTCCAAAATTGATGTTCTGTTATAAATAAAGACTTAAATTACATAAATTTTTTTATAAATAAAAAATATAAATATGTTAAATAATTTTTTTGAATAAAATAAACAAATAATTAATTCTTTATTTTATACTTTTTGAAGACAAATTGTTATCTGATTTTTACAAAAATTATAAAAATAAATTATTGATCAATTATTTATTTATTTATTTTATTCAAAAAAAATATTTAAAATATTTTACATTTTTTATTTTTATAAAAATTGCATAATTTAAGTCTTTATTTAGAACCGAACATCAGTTTTGAATAATTGGGGTGTTTCGTGCAAACTTTACATTAACACAGTGGGGTTTCACGAAATAAATAAAACACATGTTTATACATTTTTACTAAAACACAAGGAAGTGTTATATAATTTACCCCAAAAGTTTTGTATAATCAATAAATGTTGAAGATAAGCGGCTCGCGATTTCACGTCATAAA